GTTTATTGGTTTCCGATTTGGTGGTAAATCGGTTAAAATCCACGTTTGGTTCTCTTGTAAGGAACAGTATTCTTCCGACATCGCTTGTTTCCAAAGTTCGGCGTCGTGCCTCTCCATAGCCTCTTCAACTGTCAAAGGATCGGCTAATTCTGTCACATTGGAAATTTTCGCGCAATAAAGCTGATACATTGTCATCGATTTCGGTTTTGGTTGCCTTGAAGATCTTCGTAGAATTTGAACTTCTGATGTAGGTGGGGGTGAACTCTCGTTAGAACATACATTTTCATTATCTGCCCCAACTTCAACTGCATTTGTTTCATTTTCTACGGAGATTTCTTCGGAAGCATGAACAGGTTCTTCGAAAAATGGCATGAATTCAGTTGAATCATGAGTCGAAGTCGAGGTCGAAGTGCTGATTTGGTCTGGAATACTGTTTTCGATGAAAACGACATCTCTACTCTCCACGAGTTTTTTTGTTTCAGGGCGGATTAGTCGATATGCCTTCGAATCCTGACAGTATCCAACAAAAATCATTTCGATTGATTTCGAATCCCATTTTCTTCGTTTCTGCTTCGGAACATGCACCATTGCTTTGCATCCAAATATTCGGAGATGACTCAAATCTGGAGTATCATTAGTCCATAGTTCTTCTGGAGTTTTCTCTGATATAATTTTGGTTGGTGAACGATTTTTTATATACACTGCGGTTGAAACTGCCTCAGCCCAAAACTCCTTTCCTACTTGTGCATACTGAATCATACATCTAGCTTTTTCAACAATGGTTCGGTTGGTGCGTTCGGCCAAACCATTTTGCTCTGGTGTATAAGGAGTTGTTGTCTGATGTTGGATCCCTGATTTCCGCAAAAATGTTCCAAACTCTTGATTGCAGTACTCTGAACCATTATCAGTGCGTAAAATTTTAATTCTCATTCCCTTTTGGTTTTCAACCATATATTTAAAATCTTCAAAATACTTCTTCATTTCACTCTTGAGTTTCAGAAAATATACAAAGGTTTTTCTCGAAAAATCGTCTATTAACATGAAGAAATATCGTGCTCCTCCAAGTGAAGCTACTTCCATCGGGCCAGAGAGATCACTATGAATGATTTCCAAGAAATTTCCAGCTCTTTTGCCAACATGGGTAAAAGGTAATCTACTTTGTTTACCTTTTAGACAAGCTTCACATGTATCTATCTGTCGCTCTTCGAAGTTGATACCCGATGCCAAACCATTTCTCAATTTATTCAGATCGGAGAAATTAATATGAGCAAGCCTACGATGCCACAATAATGCATCCGATTTATGGGAAACCATGAAGTTATATTTTTCTTGGGGAAAAATATTCAGCTTGTACATGTTATCCACCAAATTTGCATCAGCTACTACATCATTTCTTTTATTGAAAATTCGGCAGACATTTTCTGAAAACTTGATTCGGTATCCATACCTTATGATGCGACTCACAGATAATAAATTAGTTGATAGACCTGGAACCAGCAGTACATTTTGAATTTGGATGTTTTTTTCTGATCCATTCAAAAGAATTCTTAATGTGATCGTTCCCATTGCAGTAACTTGGAGCTTTGAGTTATTTGCTACAACTATTTCATTCACTTCAGGAGGTGATTTGTTCTCAAGCCAATCATCACGCATCGTCATATGCATAGACGCACCAGAATCGATGTACCAATTCATTATATCGGCCTTTCCAGTAGAGAAAGCCGCCGATATACCTGATGACTGTGTAGTACGTTTTGATTTTTGGGATTTGTCGCTGTGCTTGACGATTCTACAATCTGGTGCTTTATGACCGTATTGGTTACATTGAAAACAACGTGGCCCCTTTCTATGTGAAAACTTCTTATTTTTCGCCTGAGTGAGGAATGCGGAATCATTATTCGATTTCTTTACGTCTTGAAGAAGCTTCGTCTTGATGGAATCCCCTGTGATCTTTACACCGGAACTTTCAAGGCCCATGATCATGGGTTTGTATTCATCAGACAAACCAGCTAATAAAAGACTTCCAATCCACTCATCACTGACTATAAAACCAACACCTGATAGTTTGTGAGCGGTGATAAAGATTGTATTAACGAATTCCTCAACAGAATTACAATTTTCGAGACGTGTGGTAATCAATGTTCTGAGGAGACCAACTCTCCTAGTCAAACCAGAGTCTTCGAATGCTTCTCTCAACTTGTCCCATACCTCTTTAGCTGTCTTCGCGCATTGAACGTGTATATAAATGATTGGATCGATGAGTAATATTATCTTGGACTTAGCTTTAACAATTTTCTTCTCATCATTATCATTACCAGTTACACAGTCCCAGAGCTCCTCATGTTCCAAATATGTTTGAACAGCAAATTGCCAGGTATTATAATTCTCACGACCCCTGAGTTTCTCTATCGATGGCAAACTTCCTAATCCACTTGATGAAGCCATTGGTAGACGGAAAACTTGTTATTTGAAAATTATTTTCGACTGACTTGACAACTTGTCAAAATTTTTTCGGAATTTTTTCAAAGTGCTGATTATTCACCTAAGATCCGTAAACTTTCTCTTCAGCACGTTCTGGGCCCATAACCTGATAGAAGGGACTGAATGGATGTAATTTATATCCTAGGTATACAGAAATCAGCCAGATGAAAAGATACACGACGTGACAAGGTTTCGATATATTGAACAACTCTATTGACATACATCAATATACATGGTGATAATAATATGAGAGTAGAAATGTATAAACAGGATGTTCTTCATTCCAATAGCGCAGACACGTAACGACCGCAGCGTAGAGATACTACATGGATCGCAGTCGCAGAACGATTCTACTACGAACTACGAACTGCGAACGCTGTGAAATGACAAAAGTGACCGGCCGGGAAGTTGAGCGGTTCGCATTACACGATCCCAATCGCTGAATCGCTTGTTCATTTGATGCAAGTCTCGGTCCTCTCGCTCGACGGCGAGAATTGACCAGCCCCGGGGTTCATCGCGGGAAAGAGAAGGACGTATAACTCGCTCTCGCTCAGATGAACCTTTTTTCTTGAAGAAGGAGAATTTTTCTTGAGGAAGGAAAATATTGTTTCTGCATAAAAAATGAGAAAACCTAACCTATCTATTTTATGAGTATATCTGTACTTGTTTCGTTGACCTGTGTAAAACTAATGTTTATTAACACCAAATAAAATATTCTATTCTATTCTAACCTAACCTAACCTAACCGAACCTCACCTCTGGCCTAAACCACAAACATAGAAAACCCCTAAATGAACCTATTTCCCATAGAGAATATTTTTTAGAAATCACTTGAGAACAAGGAAAAAATAAAAAAAAGATGAGCCTCGCACGGATTCGAACCCCGGCCCGCCGGCTTGGCATGCCGATGCTCTGCCTACTGAGCCAACCAGTTGCTTACGAGACGAAGTATGATGAAGTACTGCCCACTATAACGTTGCATGCATGCATTCTCGCGAGTGAGAGGGCATTATATGTCCTTCTCTCTCCCGCGATAAACCCCGGGGCTTGTCAATTCTCGCCGCTCGACGCTCGCACGCTCGGCAGTGACAGAGAGATGATCGGTCGGTCTGGTCGGTCAACGTTTGCATTTTTCAGTGAACTAACGAACTGAAACCCAGATTGACAACGAACTAGTTCGCGTAGTTCACCTCGGGGAGCGCTCTTTCGAACTAGTTCGTTCGCGAACTACACAAGACTAGTTCGAATCCGTGCGAGGCTCATCTTTTTTTTATTTTTTTCTTGTTCTCAAGTGATTTCTAAAAAATATTCTCTATGGGAAATAGGTTCATTTAGGGGTTTTCTATGTTTGTGGTTTAGGCCAGAGGTGAGGTTCGGTTAGGTTAGGTTAGGTTAGAATAGAATAGAATATTTTATTTGGTGTTAATAAACATTAAGTTTTACACAGGTCAACGAAACAAGTACAGATATACTCATAAAATAGATAGGTTAGGTTTTCTCATTTTTTATGCAGAAACAATATTTTCCTTCCTCAAGAAAAATTCTCCTTCTTCAAGAAAAAAGGTTCATCTGAGCGAGAGCGAGTTATACGTCCTTCTCTTTCCCGCGATGAACCCCGGGGCTGGTCAATTCTCGCGTTTGATCCAAGGATTATAAACTCTAGGTTTGATCCACTCGTAGCGGGACCAACTTCTGTCTCTATAGGTAACGAAATCGACCAATAGGCGTTGATGCCGACGTAGGGAGAAAATAATACGAAACTTAAATACTGTCTGTAGGTTAATCGAGGAGGTGGTACATTCATTATTCAAATTTTTTTTTTTTTTTTATTTTCTCTCCTCGTTTCTATAAAATAAAAATATGAATATTATTTCAATATACGCTATTGAAATAATCTCTTCTCATGTTGAAAACGGGAGCAGAACCGGTCCCGAAACGTCCAAAGATAAGTGAAAATTTGATATTCTTTAAACGCAGTGACATTTTGGGGCAAATCATCTGATTTGTCCTTACTACACGTATATTGAAATAATATTCATATTTTTATTTTATAGAAACGAGGAGAGAAAATCCCAAAAAAAAAATTTTGAATAATGAATACGAAACTTGTCAAACCAATATGGCTGTTTGCATCACCTTGGTTTCCATCCTCCACTTTCCGTCCTTATAGATTCAAAAAGTATCTCTCATTTTGGTCCCATTTTTGTTGAGATATCGTATTGGCGATGATGGACAAAATTTATGACTGATATATTGTGAATAGTGATTATCGTGTTTTATTAAGTTTTATTGTTTTTTTGAGGTGGAAGAAGTATTTTCAACAAATTTTACATTTCATTTACATGTTTTCAATTTTCATGGCCTGATAGAATCTCGGTCATCTGACAGATCTTGCACGCAACGTGTGAAGTTTGACAACTGACACATTGTCAGATTCAGAGGTTAGGGGATTGGTTAGGGGAGGGGTGTTAGTTTGAACTTTGAGGTTAGTTTTATATTTTTTGGAGTACATGTTGCATGAGTCATGGCATGACTTTAGAGTTATTAGTCACTTTCCATTGCCACAACAGCGATTTCATTTTGTTGTGATGTGGCTATTTTGTTTCCTGGATAGTGGATGATATTTATATATTGCGAGAATTCAGTAAATAACGAACAGATCCAAATACGAAAATATTCCTTGGCAGAAAGAAACCGGAGAAGAAACCACAATGTCTAGAAGAGCACAACCATTGTGGACAGCACCCAAAAACGATGGGCGACCTGTTCTGAAACTTTTCAATAGTTTAACTAGGCAGAAGGAAGCGTTTGTTCCCATTTCTGGAAAAAGGGTGAATTGGTACAGTTGTGGTCCAACTGTTTATGATTCTTCTCATATGGGCCATGCAAGATCTTATATTACATTTGATATATTGAGAAGAGTATTATCAGACTATTTCGGTTATGATGTATTTTACACCATGAATATTACTGATATAGATGATAAAATCATAAAGAGGGCCAGACAAAACCATTTGTTTGAATGTTATGTTAATCAAGAACATACTCTGGAAGATGTGGTCAAAGATTCTAAAGAAGTTTTTGAGAACTTGTCCAGCAGAGTGTATTCCACAGATGACCCAGATAAGAAGCTAATGTTTGAGAAACTTCTTGAAAAAGTTACAGCATCTATTGGAGAACTAGAAAATGCAGTAAAATGTGGTGATGTATCCATTGTTGATGAGTTGAAGATAAAATTCATAAGAGATTGTAAAGATCCACTATCAGATTGGTTAGATTTGAAACATGGATCCACTGTTGAGGACAATGCTATATTCAGTTCACTCCCAAAACACTGGGAAGAAGAGTTTCATAAAGACATGGATGCATTGAATGTTCTTCGCCCCAATGTTTTGACAAGGGTTAGTGAATATATTCCAGAAATAATAACTTTCATTGAAACAATTATCCAACATGGCTTTGCTTATGAATCAAAAGGTTCAGTTTATTTTGATGTAGCTGCATTTGATAAAAGAGAAAAACACCATTATGCCAAGTTAGTTCCAGAAGCTTATGGAGATACAAATAGCTTGCAAGAAGGAGAAGGAGATCTGACCACAGCAGATCAAAGGAATGATAAACATTCACCTAATGATTTTGCTTTATGGAAGAACAGCAAACGTGGAGAACCATCCTGGGAATCTCCATGGGGTCTTGGCAGACCAGGCTGGCATATTGAATGTTCTGCAATGGCATCTGTTATTTTTGGTTCTACTTTGGATATACACACTGGTGGAGTTGATCTCAAATTCCCACATCATGATAATGAAATAGCCCAGAGTGAAGCCCATTTTGGAAATCCAGATTGGGTGAAGTATTTTCTACACTCTGGCCATTTGACCATTGCAGGATGCAAAATGTCAAAGTCCTTGAAAAACTTTGTCAGCATTCAAGATGCTCTTTCCATGTATAGTGCTAGACAGTTGCGCTTAGCTTTTCTTCTACACAGTTGGAGAGATACCCTTGATTATAGTCCTAATACAATGGAGATTGCCCTACAGTATGAAAAAGTATTCAGTGAATTCTTTTTAAATGTGAAAAATATTACAAGAAATAAGTGTTTATCCCAGAGAACCACATATGATACATTTTCTAAATGGGCTGACCAAGAAAAAGTTTTGAATGAACAATTTTTGCTGGTCAAAGAAATGGTACATTCAGCTTTATGTGATAACATAGATACCAGAACAACATTAGATTCCTTGAGAGATCTCATTTCTAAAAGTAATATTTATTTGAGAGAACAGAAGCCTGCAAATTCTCTATTATTATATGATATTGCCTTGTATGTCACCAAAATGTTGAAGATTTTTGGAGCTATATTTGAACCAGATATTATAGGATTTCCAGTTTCAAATGGAACATCCAATAATGTTGAAAGTACTATACTACCTTATCTCAGTATTCTAGCTGATTTTAGAGACAAAATTAGAATAAGTGCTAGGACATTGAAAGCAACAGAAATCCTCAAAGAATGTGATCATTTGAGAGATGAAATTCTGCCAAATGTGGGTGTCAGATTAGAAGACAGAGAAGGAGAACCTAGTGCTGTAAAACTAGTGGATAAGGATACTTTGTTGAAAGAAAGGGAGGCCAAGAAGAAAGCAGAAAATGAAAAAGCAGAGGAGAAGGAGAAGAAAAGGATGGAGTTAGCTGCTGCTGCAGCTGCTAAAGAGGCTCTGAAGAAAATTCCACCTAGTCAGATGTTCAGAAGTGAAACTGACAAATACTCTAAATTTGATGAACATGGTTTTCCATCACATGATGTGGAAGGAAAAGAAATCAGTAAAGGGCAGCTCAAGAAGCTTCAAAAATTGTATCAAGCTCAAGAAAAAAAATACCAAGAATATCTCACTTCTCAAAATCCATAAAATTATTTTATTTCAAATAGACAACTTCATCTGAAAGACATTTTGGCATTTATTATAGATATTTATTTTGAAAGTTAATAATAGAAAGTATTTATTAAAGAATAATTATTGAAAAATGAATAATGTGTTAATTTTTGTTTTTACTCATGGTTGAGTGTGTTGTATGATTGATACAGGGTGTCCCTATAAGAACGGGACATACCACCACAGATACAGGTTATCAAACCTTTTTTCGTTAATCTGGTCAGTTGTGCAAATGGAACAAAAAATGCAATCAACATTTGCTTTTAATATAAAAAAATAAACAAAAATACAAGAAGCGTTATCTGAAAAAAACCTTGATAAAACTTATATGTTATATGTTGTCTAAGGAACAGTAACTCATTAAAGTATAATCTATGGTATCTCAAAGCCTCAAAGTGGAGTGAATAGATTCATAAACAAGACACATGACTTATGTGTCTTGTTTATCATTAAAGTATCTCTGTTTCTCCTTCCAGTCATTATAAAAGTGTTCTAGTGTCCAACCAGAACGTAAACAAGCTGATATGTCAATAGGTTTGTTCGCGGTCAGAAAATAAACAATCCGTAACTATCAGAAGTATGCCCAGTTTTACAGAGTTCAAAAATGCGTATAGATCTGTGGAAAGGTGGATTATAATCCACCTTGATCTGTGGAACTCATATACGTATTAATAATCAATACGGATAATCTCTATCTGTTTCCAAAGCGAAACATGAAGCCGATTTTTGAAGACAAATGACTATCCATAAGGAAAAGTTTTGAAACGATCAGACACATACTGCTTTGATTGAAAGGCTAGTAAACGTCATTGTCCACCGAAACGCATGTCTTTGATGACTACTATAATAGCGCATGGCGCATGCGTATCATGCCACCAAATCCTTATGGATATTCATTTGTTTCATATTTTTGGCTTCATCCTGGCACCCGTTATGATCCGTATTGTTTATTAATACGTATATGGTGGAACTACGTTTGCTTCTGTCTTCTGATGGTTTTCGACTGTTCATCTTCTGAATGCGAGCATTGCGAGCAAACCTGAAACTATCGATACTATCGGTAAAAACTATCGATTAAACCGATAGTACATTTTACTAAACCGATAGTACATTTTACTATCGATGTTGTGTTCATAGAACGTCATTATTTAACTTATATTTAATTTAGTCCATTCCTTATGGGAAATAGAGCTGTTAAATCAAATTGAATATAAATTAAAAACAAATGAGATTCCATGAACAGACCAGTGTCACAGATTTCACAACGCAAAATGAGTGGATGGAACAAAATATACTTACATAAAATATGTTTAATCTATTCCATACACTTAACATACATTTCACGTTTACAATATAAAAATTAGTTCATTGATCATTCCTATTAGTGACATTTCATTTCCTCTAAGCATGTCTCGCATTTTTGAGTTGAGTTCACTTTAGGGATACATCAGCGACATTTTTTTGACCACGATTTTTGACACATTTGATAAAGTTATTTATGTATCAAGGGCGTAAAGTAGGCGTTTATGGCCTGTGGCGTGAATAATGGCCCGATGGCGCTAGCCGAGGGCCATTACACGCTCAAGGCCATAAACGCATTTCACGCACGTGATACATACAAAATTTTATGCACTAGTGGTTTATTTTCTGACTCAAAAGTAATGACTATAGATTTCGATAAACTAATATTCCCCCGAATTTGATTTGTTGCGTATAAATTCAGTAATCAAGAGAAGCGTAATGTTCATGGATGATTTACATATGAGAATTATCGTACGAATATTGCAATTATCGTAATAGTAAAACTCTTTGATCTCTAGAAAAGATTCATTCTTCAGAATTTTACAATATATGCATACCCAGTATATATACCTAACTAATTTTGACGTTGTCAATCAAGCTGATGGTTGTTGTCTATATCAATACATCCAATAAACGAGCTGAATTGTCATTCTTTGACTGAAAAGTAAAAATTAGTGATAATAATAATAGCGATAGATATGGAATCGGATAGAGAAGAAGTTTATGATATACCGCTGGATATATCAGAATCTAGGAAAATGATCATAGGTTTTTCATGAATTGATATGTGGATATAAGGTAACTGAGAACAGCGGGCGGTAAAGTGCCCTTTACGGCCCGTGGGCCATAATGAGCCCGCGGGCGGTAAAGTGCGACTTAACGCCCGCAAAACCGGGCGGTAAAGTGCACTTTACGGCCCACTAGTGCATAAAGAATAATTTCATTCTTTTCGTGTCATATTAACGCCTTCTAGACATAAAATCAACTCCTGTCCAGAGCACCATTGATGATTAGGACTGAATCAGGATAATGCTTTTACCGGAATGTACTTAAAAAAAAACGTCAAAACAGCAATATCAAATACATTTAGGAACTCTAGCTTATGGTAGATTATATCAATCTTGTTAAAAAAACGAGTGAATGTTAATAACATGATAAAAGCTGGAACTTTACTAACCGTTTGATGCAACCTGTTTCCTAGAATAATGTACTCCTGCTAGAGGTGGCAAACTATCGATAATATTGCAATTGCAATTACATACCTTGTTGGTCCCAGCACTGGGACCAAACGCCCCATAAGTCGAAACTTGTGCGAGGTTAGGTATACATACAAACACAAACATCCATGGCCTAACTAGGATTCGAACCTATGTCTCGGTGAGAGTCCCCATACGAACTCAGCGCCTTCACGCTCTCGACCACCGAGCCGCCTCTGACTTTCGATAGTTAAAAAAACTCGATCCGATAGTGCATATTTCTAAGAAACTATCGATACTATCGATAGTACCATCTAGTACCATCGATAGTTTGCCATCTCTCTCTATTTACTCTCAAAAATATTGCAATGATGTGTACAAGGTTGTGTACAAGGAACCTTTTGAAAAATTGAAATAAAAAAAGGAGGAAATTGATGAACTTTGATGACAACAAGTGATCCTCCTCATTCCTCATCATCAGTAGTTTAATATTTATATAATATCTGTTCGACTCTGCCATTCCTTTTGAAAGCAGCTAGAAGCTGAAATACAAGGTAAATATTATTATTACATACTTTTAAATCATCATTGTAAATTGACTTGGTATTTGTCCATATGCCGATGCCGATATGATGATTCTCAATTGATTATAATACTGGTTATTATAGGATAGGTTCCTACCTATAAGATTGATAGGAATAAATCAAATATACTGGGTGGTCTTCATACTTCATAGAAGGAATTGACAAATCTTTTGAGAAGGACTGATGATATCTAGAGGCACCCTCAAGACGTCTCTAGGACGTCCACCTGTTTTCCATTTTTACATGCAAATGCCATAAGATCATCCCAATGATATTATAATATGATAATATTTCAGAGGAAGTGCTGAACCATTTTCTTCATGCAAATGACGCCTATAAAACATATTCTCTCACAATTCACCTAAGTCGACCTGAACACTACGTTTCACAGATCTTCTGGAAAAATCAATGTTCTTATTTTGATTAAGGATGTATGGGAAGAACTTGAAACGAAAATTAAAATAGTATAAGTTTGCAGCTTCCTTCCAGACCTCTCTCTAAGTTCCTCCCTAAAAATCCCTTAAATCCCCCACTTGTCAGAGAATAATTGAAAAGTAGTTATCATTTCTTAATTTATTCAATAGGCAAAGAGAATCAATTATTAGGTACTTCCCAGATGAGTCAGGAGTATCTTATCTGCTAGGATCTTATTCCACAAGCTTATTGACGTCATATATACTTGAACCGGATTGTGTTTGGTTTGTATTTTTATTTTCAATGAGCTAAGTAACTGATGTATATCAAAACATACAGATAAATATATACCTACCACTTTTTGTAATAGGACACTGGTAAAGGGCACTGGTAAAGAAGTGTTCTTGTTCTTACTATGGTAAAACTGCATTTATCATGTGATGGTTTTTTTTTTCGAAAATTTTTTTGATGTACTTCAATGACACATTTTTATATAGAAAATTCAACAGGAAATATGATTTTTATGGCAAGTTTTTCATATAGTGAACAAGCATACCAGATGACGGCCATTTAATAAAAGTCAATCAAAATACGAGATGTCAAATGTCAACAGATTGCTTTTGAATGACTGAATCTGGATAATTTCTAGTTGACTCATATAATAGGAACACCATAAATGTCCCCCCCTCTAGCTCACTTTTTTTTGAACCGATTTAAACATTTGAAAAATAATCTGAAATGGTTTTTCAGAAATTTTTTCCCGTTGCATCAGAAAATACAGGGTGCTCGGAACAAACGATCTACAGAGTACTTCTTGATTTTTTCAAATGGAACACCCTGTATTCCATTGTATTTTTAGATTCTTCCTGGAGAGCTGATTACATCAATGCATCACACTTGGGGTCTAGTGAGAATTATTACAGATATATAGGGTGTTCAAAATCAAGATTTTTCAACTTTAGAATTTTTTTGTTTCGAAACTATTCATCATTGGTCAAAATGGCTTCTATATCCCCATCTCAACTTTCGATTTACTATCTACTGACATTTAATTGGAACATTTACAGGGTGGTTCAAGTTTCAAAATTCTGATCACCCTCTGTATCTGTTCCAATTATTAAATGTCAGTAGATAGTAAATCAAAATTTAAGGCACGGACATGGAAGAAGGTGAAATTTGTAACTTTATAATGAAATATCTTGATAATTAATGGTTTGTTCACATTTTCATTATCAAATTCGTGTTTTTCAGACAAAAATACGCAAGTACCAAAAAAATTTTCGAAAAAAACATCGCATGATAAATGCAGTTTTACCAAAAAGTTAACTGTTATTAATGAAAATAGTGTTACCATAGTATCAACAACTTGCAAACATCAGACTGAGAAATCCTACCACCAAATTTGTAGAACTATATGGCCTAGAACTATTTAGAAATAATTATGTATGAAACAAATGTAGTGCAGGATGAATGATACAAATTAAAATAAATCATCAAAATAAATCATTAAAATAAATCATTAAAATATTCCCTGAGAGAGTAGTAGCTTTTATTTTTGAGAAATAATTTGCACTGTCTTTTGATAAAGGAT